CCCCGAGCCGTCGAGAAAAACCTTACTTCTCCCCCCCCCCTCCCTACACCCCGTAAATGTAATCTGCTGAGAATGGGGTTTTTGAAGGAGAGAGGGGGGGGGGATAGGGGGGTGAAGGATATGAGGGGATTTTATGATCAATGATATGTGGGGCGTGTGGATTAATGTCTATATATCCATTTATGGATATGCTGCCGGCTATTAGCAGTTCCATCAGTGAGCACCACTATCACCCATTTGCCAGCCCCCCATGTCACCCACCTGCCAGCCTCCCATGTCACCCACCTGCCAGCCTCCCATGTCATCCACCTGCCAGCCTCCCATGTCACCCACCTGCCAGCCTCCCATGTCACCCACCTGCCAGCCTCCCATGTCACCCACCTGCCAGCCCCCCATGTCACCCACCTGCCAGTCTCCATGTCACCCTGCCAGCCCCCAGGTCACCCACCTGGCAGCCCCCCATGTCACCCACCTGTCAGCCCCCCATGTCACCCACCTGCCAGCCCCCTTGTCTGTCAACCACCTACCAGCCCCCCATGTCACCCACCTGCCAGCCTCCCATGTCACCCACCTGCCAGCCTCCCATGTCACCCACCTGCCAGCCCCCCATGTCACCCACCTGCCAGTCCCCATGTCACCCTGCCAGCCCCCATGTCACCCACCTGCCAGTCCCCATGTCACCCTGCCAGCCCCCAGGTCACCCACCTGGCAGCCCCCAGGTCACCCACCTGGCAGCCCCCAGGTCACCCACCTGCCAGCCCCCCATGTCACCCACCTGCCAGTCCCCATGTCACCCTGCCAGCCCCCAGGTCACCCACCTGGCAGCCCCCAGGTCACCCACCTGGCAGCCCCCAGGTCACCCACCTACCAGCCCCCAGGTCACACACCTACCAGTCCCCATGTCACACACCTGCCAGCGGTACGGGACTCGGGAGTTGCCGCAGCAAATATGCAATATTTGATTGACTTTGATTCCCGATAACAAACCAAATCTGCCTTTCATAAACTTATTTCTTGTGTGATGCCGCTGTTGGCACTGGCGGTGATGGCACTGGCGGTGTTGGCACTGTCGTCAGTGCCTTCGGAGGTGTCACAGTGTCTTGAGAGCCCCCTTGGGTGTGTGTAGCCTAAATTAACACGTATATAAACACATATCAAAGTTTTTGAGATGAAATAAGCATCGTCCTCAGAGTAAATGTTAGCATCTCAGGGGATCCAAACAAGCAATTCGGGTGTTTTTCTCAAGGTGGGAGAGCAGTGGGGTAACGAGCCTTGACTAACGAGGGTTTGCCTGTTGTTGAGGTCGTTAGGTTGGGTGTGCGAGGCTCTGTAGGTGATTGTGTATTCCTCCTGCCTAGCTCTGCTTGCTTGTGCCAGGCTTCAGCTCCTGGGTCCCGCTTCTCGGCCGTCCCGCACATTTTGGGTTCTTTGTGTCCCTCTTATAAGAAGAACATAAGAACCAAGGTAACTGCAGAAGGCCTATTGGCCCATACGAGGCAGCTCCTGAGGCAGCTTATGTCAAGAGGGACATGTATAATGGACTCACAAAAGCGATATAGATCTATGCATAAATCTTTGGAGCAGTGAGAAGGAATCGAACTTGCGTCAGGGATGACGAGGGAGGAGAGTTCGATTCCATTGTACTACTCGAAAAGATTTACTCCATAAAGCTGTTTATCTTGTCATTTTCAGTTAGAAAATTGTCCTGCTGTGGAAGTATTTTGTCTCGGTCACTTACCTTCATTACTTTGCATTTAATGGATGTTGAACTCAAGCAGCCACTTCCAAGTGGGCAAAATATGTTAGGATAACAATGAACGTTATCTTATATTCGTCTATGTCCGTCTATATTATATATACATGTATATAGACGGACATTGATGGACGGAGACAGAATGTGACGGAGTGTAGTAGTGATAGACAAAAACAAAACATAGTAATTATAAAAAAAACAAAAAACAGGATCTCAACTGCAAAAAAAAAAAACATTTTCCATTAACCTGAACAAAATGTTAGATATAACGCTAATAAATATATTTAAATTTTTCTTTCAGGTGAGTAGGAGAGACTTGAGGTGCCCTTGTAACTAGAGTGAGTACCACTGACCTTTGAGTAGCCACTGACACTTTAATTGTTTGCTTCTATGCCAAACACGCTGCGTCCTTGACTCAAATATTGTCACAAATTTACTAATTATCAGAGGTGAGATGATTAGGAGGAGAGAGTTCTAAGCCTGTATGACTAGACAGCACTTGGATGAGGAATGAGGGTTGAGATGAGTGGGCCAGGAGCGGGAATATGAGGGGGGCCAGTAGATGGGATATGAGGGGCCAGTAGATGGAATATGAGGGGCCAGGAGCTGGGATATGAGGGGGTCAGGAGCTGGGATATGAGGGGGGCCACGAGCTGGGATATGAGGGGACAGGAGCTGGGATATGAGGGGGACAGGAGCTGGGATATGAGGGGGGACAGGAGCTGGGATATGAGGGGGCAGGAGCTGGGATATGAGGGGACAGGAGCTGGGATATGAGGGGGACAGGAGCTGGGATATGAGGGGGTCAGGAACTGGGATATGAGGGGGGCCAAGAGCTGGGATATGAGGGGGTCAGGAGCTGGGATATGAGGGGGGCCAGGAGCTGGGATATGAGGGGGTCAGGAGCTGGGATATGAGGGGGGCCAAGAGCTGGGATATGAGGGGGGCCAAGAGCTGGGATATGAGGGGGTCAGGAGCTGGGATATGAGGGGGGCCAAGAGCTGGGATATGAGGGGCCAGGAGCTGGGATATGAGGGGGTCAGGAGCTGGGATATGAGGGGGGCCAAGAGCTGGGATATGAGGGGGTCAGGAGCTGGGATATGAGGGGGGCCAAGAGCTGGGATATGAGGGGGTCAGGAGCTGGGATATGAGGGGGGCCAAGAGCTGGGATATGAGGGGGTCAGGAGCTGGGATATGAGGGGGTCAGGAGCTGGGATATGAGGGGGGCCAAGAGCTGGGATATGAGGGGGTCAGGAGCTGGGATATGAGGGGGGCCAAGAGCTGGGATATGAGGGGGTCAGGAGCTGGGATATGAGGGGGGCCAAGAGCTGGGATATGAGGGGGTCAGGAGCTGGGATATGAGGGGGGCCAAGAGCTGGGATATGAGGGGGTCAGGAGCTGGGATATGAGGGGGTCAGGAGCTGGGATATGAGGTTAGCATTTTCGTAAAATTATAAGTTTGATTATATATTATTACTTTATCATTTTGTTATTAAGAAAATCAGGAGGAGTCATGAAAAGGATTCGAATCTACGCTCCGGCTTCTCCCAGGCACACGCCTTAGACCACTGCATCACGACATGGTAAAAAGCAATGTAACCTTGGAATCTTTAATTTCTTTGGTGCATTATTTTCGTTATTTTAAGTTTTTGTTTCCGTTTTCATTAGTGACTTCACCATGATAAGAGAGAGAGAGAATCTTGCCCTTTAATGGGTAACTATAGCAGGAGAAGTTGTATAATAAGTTGCACACACACACACTTTGTCAACAGTTGGTTCTAGAGTCGTTTATCATGGCAGTCGTACAGACTTTTATGGCTCATGGGTCGATCTTTGGAGAGCATGTTCTGGGACCAGATTCACGAAGCAGTTACCGATGCACGTACGAACCTGTACATCTTTTCTCAATCTTTGGCGGCTTTGTTTACAATTATTAAACAGTTAATGAGCTCCGAAGCACCAGGAGGCTGTTTATAACAATAACAACAGTTGATTGGGAAGGTTTCATGCTTGTAAACTGTTTAATAAATGTAACCAAAGCCATCAAAGATTCAGGAAAGGTGTAGAAGTTCGTAAGTACTTGCGTAACTGCTTCATGAATCTGGGGCCTGGTTTTGGGCGATAGCAGCTGGGCAGAGTTGCATTATTGCTTCAAAACATTGCATTTGTGTCTCGCAAAGTTTAGAATGTACCATCCACCTTCCTGTAACCATACATTACCTTACAACTATTCACTTCACTCAGTCTGCCAACCTTCAACCAAACGTTTTGAAATTCTACCTTTCCATCCACCATCCATACCCACCCCTTCCATCACACCACCTCCCATCCCATGCAACCCTCCGATCCCACGCTAATCTCTACCCTATCCTACCTACCTTTGGCAACCTTCTCATCCCCCACCCCATGCAATTCTCCCCCCCCCCCTCATCTCCCCCAAAGCGCTTCCCCCAAGCCCCATTGGTTTAATGTTGAGCTTAACCTTCGATAGGTTGATAGCTGTTATTATTAAGGTCACCACAATGGCTGCCTGACCAACCAGCAAGAATACTTTAGTCCTGGACAAAAGTAAACTGTGTGTGTGTGTGTGTGTATATATATACACAGAGACGTATGATACACCACTCGGTGTATGTGTATTAGTACACTCTATATTAAACATCCACTCTGATGTCGCAATTCGTTCTGATTATCTTTAATGTCATTTCTTGTATTAAAACTTCAATTATTGGTTTATTTTAATCGAGAACTTAGATATATTTTATTCGTTTATTTAAAATGTTTACGTTATTGTATAATTTACGTGTTTGATAACTGGTCTTGATATATTGTGGTTTGATTCTGACGAAACTTACCACAATGGGGGAGTCCCATACTGATGAACACAGGTGTAATGCAGCAAATTTTGTCCCCATTTGCTCATTCTTCAGTTCAGGTGTAGAAATACCTGTGAGGTGGTTACCACTGGGTATTGAGGTAATTACCACAGGGTATTGTGAGGTGGTTACCACTGGGTATTGAGGTAATTACCACAGGGTATTGTGAGGTGGTTACCACTGGGTATTGAGGTAATTACCACAGGGTATTGTGAGGTAGTTACCACTGAGTATATCACTTGTGTGATTTAATTCTGACAATTTTATGTCTATAGGAAATATATTGTGAAAATATTACAATGGTAAAATTGTCTAATTACAAATTCCATAATTTATCGTCTGTTTAACTCTTCTGTTATTGTTGTTTATAGGTCTGACACTTGGTAAGTACCTTTCAGTAATTTGTGTGTGTGTGTGTGTGTGTGTGTGTGTGTGTGTGTGTGTGTGTGTGTGTGTGTGTGTGTGTGTGTGTGTGTGTGTGTGTGTGTGTGTGTGTGTGTGTGTGTGTGTGTGTGTGTGTGGGGTATGTGTACTCACCTATTTGTGCCTGCAAGATCGAGCATTGACTCTTGGATCCCGAATCTTGGATCTTGCGTGCGTGCGTGCGTGCGTGCGTGCGTGCGTGGTGGGGACGGTTTACATTCATCTTGGAGTTAGATATAGATGATGTACGGAAACGCTGTTTGCTGTGGCATTTGCTCAAGTCCTCCCTCTCACCCCTTCATCATCAACCCGCTCCGTGTCCTCTCTCTCTCTTCCCCCTCTCCCAGTCCCCTTTTCCCCTCAGGGAGATGGTGTACCCCGTTAATAGAGATAAATGACTGACTGGAGGTAATGACTGTCGCTCACATGCTTCTGTGTCCGTTGCTGGCCCCTACCCTTGGCCGGAACCTGGCCCCCTACTGCTGGCCGGAACCTGGCCCCCTACTGCTGGCCGGAACCTGGCCCCCCTACCGCTGGCCGGAACCTGGCCCCCTACTGCTGGCCGGAACCTGGCCCCCCTACCGTTGGCCGGAACCTGGCCCCCTACCGCTGGCCGGAACCTGGGCCCCCTACCGTTGGCCGGAACCTGGCCCCCTACCGCTGGCCGGAACCTGGGCCCCCTACCGCTGGCCGGAACCTGGCCCTCTACCGCTGGCCGGAACCTGGCCCTCTACCGCTGGCCGGAACCTGGCCCCTACCGCTGGCCGGAACCTGGGCCCCCTACCGCTGGCCGGAACCTGGGCTCCCTACCGCTGGCCGGAACCTGGCCCTCTACTGCTGGCCGGAACCTGGCCCCCTACCGCTGGCCGGAACCTGGCCCCCTACCGCTGGCCGGAACCTGGGCCCCCTACCGCTGGCCGGAACCTGGCCCCCTACTGCTGGCCGGAACCTGGCCCCCTACCGCTGGCCGGAACCTGGCCCCCTACCGCTGGCCGGAACCTGGCCCCCCTACCGTTGGCCGGAACCTGGTCCCACTTTTCGGCTTTTTGAGGGCCTGGGATCCTTTTTGGTTGCGCTAGGCCCACTTTGGCCCTTTTTAATTCGTCATACAGGCCTCGTGTCCCGCTGTCCAGGGTGAAGACAATAGGGTACAGAGGGGAAATAGTGGTGTGGGATGCCTGTGTTACCGTGTATGGAGGACAGAAGGATAGGTTATGGTAGGGAGGAGAGGGGACGTTATGGTGGGAAGAGGGGACGTTATGGTGGGGGGGAGGAGGCGAAGCGGAAGCAGTGTGTGTCTGAGGAAGATAAGTACATCCAACACTAAGCTGATAAACGCTCTTTATCTCTTTTCCAGCATTGCTTCCTTATACAGTTGTTTCCAGCACTGTCCCTTCCCTTCTCTCCTCTTTCTCCTCTCTCTCTCTCTCTCTCTCTCTCTCTCTCTCTCTCTCTCTCTCTCTCTCTCTCTCTCTCTCTCTCTCTCTCTCTCTCTCTCTCTCTCTCTCTCTCTCTCTCTCTCTCTCTCTCTGTCTCTCTCTGTCTCTCTCTCTCTCTCTCTCTCTCTCTCTCTCTCTCTCTCTCTCTCTCTCTCTCTCTCTCTCTCTCTCTCTCTCTCTCTCTCTCTCTCTCTGTCTCTCTCTCTGTCTCTCTCTGTCTCTCTCTGTCTCTCTCTCTCTCTCTCTCTCTCTCTCTCTCTCTCTCTCTCTCTCTCTCTCTCTCTCTCTCTCTCTCTCTCTCTCTCTCTCTCTCTCCCCCGTCCCCCCCTCCCCCCCTCCAACTAGTCAAAATCATGCCTCAGAATGAACAAGAATTGAGGGTTAAAATTACCTGAAAACTTTTGTGAAGTTTCATAAAGAAAATCACAGACCAGAAAACGAAGAGGTGATGGTGAGGTGGGGATGGTTGAGGGTTGTGAGGGAAGGGAGAGGAATGGTTGGTCAAGCAGCGTCAAGAATGGAAGATGAAGGGTGGAGAATATATGCATATTTTCTCCAATTAAATAGAATGGAAGAGCCGGGAAATTCTCAAAATATAATCAAAGATCAGAACAAAGTAAAGGTCAAAGTAAGAAAGAGCAGCAAGGAAAAAACCCCAGAAATAGCGAGAGAGTAAAGCCGTGACTGAGAGAGGGAGATAAGGGAGACTGTGTTAAAGATGGGTCATGTGATGGGCTCTGGCCTGGGAAGGGAGGGGGGGGGGCTCTGGCCCGGGGAAGGGGGGAGGGGAGGGGGCGCCGGTCCCCCTCAACCCTGGCAACCAGAATTTGGTGAATTCGTGGTGCTTACCTAACGCTGCTCGCCTAAACATAGAGGAGAGAAAGGCATAGCTCTTCATAGTTACCTTGTTATACTTTGCTTTTTAATTAACAATGTTGTCTGTTTAATGTTGCCAAAATGTTACGGACGGAGGTGGCTTCCACAGCCGCTGCTATCAGTACATTCTACATCTTGACCAAACCAACGAGTATTTCCTTTACATATCTCATACATTTAGGCTTCAAAGAGGTTATAAATCCCACCGATATCTTGTATATAGTGATCATATGCTCTGTTTCTTCTCTAGGGTTACGAGATTTAGTTCCTGTTTTATATTTTTGGGTTTGTGCTTCACCAGCGACTCGAAAAAATGAAACATTTGCAATGGCAAGTTCTACTACATTAATGAGTTGATGTCGCAATAGTAGATGCTGCAATGGCTACTATGTTGAGTTTATTAAAGACGAAGGAACAGCTGTCTAAGGTTTAGTATGCTATAACAAGGATATATTGTCTTAAAAGAGGCCTCAGCGAGGACATTGGACATGTGTCTGTGCCTCTGATGGCATAGAAATATCTCTCTGCCTGCTTTTGTCCCTCCCAGCATGTTAATATCAAAATATATTTATTTTATTGTATTTATTTTTATTTATTTACGTCAAGGTATATTGGGTTGTGAGAGCACATAACACAAGTGTTTTTACATCTTTTCAGCGCCACTAACACGTATAGTGACCCAGTTATACAACAGGTGATGGCTGTCAGGATGCCGATCGTGTTTAACAATCTTCTCTTAAAGCTTGGGACAAAGGGCTCTTCAGGGTGCAGGTACAGGGCATAAACTAGTGTCACTGTCTCCTTTGTGTCGACCAGACCCATTTTTGTGTCGACCAGACCCATTTTTGTGTCGAACAGACCCATTTTTGTGTCGACCAGACCCATTTTTGTGTCTACCAGACCCATTTTTGTCTACCAGACCCATTTTTGTGTCTACCAGACCCATTTTTGTGTCTACCAGACCCATTTTTGTCTACCAGACCCATATCAGCGTCGACCAGACCCATTTCAGCGTCGACCAGACCCATTCCTGGCTATGACTGGTCATCTCCTTAACCTAAAACTAAAATAATCTTTGATTCTAGAGTTGGCCTACTTGAATTAATTCATGTTTCGGTATTAATATCGTGCTTTTCACCCCAACTTACACTGGCATTTAGTGATAGCATAGTTACACATCATACATTATCAGGGCAAATGTGGGGGGGGGGAACTTTGACAAGCCGCCGGCTTCCTGTCCTCGTCGAGGTCTTTAGTGTGTTAGAAGGGCTCGGGTAAATTTAGGTAAACGCATGCATGTTTGCAGTACAGTTATCGTTATAATTGTGAACGAGCATGAACAGAAAACGGCTAACCCGGCTGCGCAAACCAATGACAGAAAATGTCTGTTTGATAGCGATAACTTCTATAAATAACTGAAAGCATAAATATATGTAAACAAAACAAAATTTACTAGAATTTACCTGAATGCTATTATCTCTAATAGCCACTATTCTGATTTTGCGTGAAATTTAACATTAAATTCCATTGGATTTGTAAGTCTGGCTAGCGGTATCCTGGTTTAAATGTGGCGATATATTGATGATAATTTTGGGTCTCGGTATTACAGTTGGCTTCGTTCTTAATTCTCAATCAGGAATTGCGGGGAGGGGGGATAGGAGGGAACAGACATGGGGGGCACATCTCCCCCTCGGCGTCCTTGCCCCTCCTGTCCCCATGCAGTTGGGGGGGACGGCCCGAGACGGGAATAAAAGACTGTGGCTCCCCATTTTCCCTGTCCTGTTGTTGTATGACTAGTCAAGGCGGCGTCAGACGGAACTCGGGGAGATGGCACGGAGAAAAAAAGAGTTAATTCCGGGAGGTGGAGAAGAAAAGGGGGTGTTTGGGTCGATTTTTTTCCCTTCACCCCCCCCCCCCTCCATATCCCCCCCTCCTCGTACCTTTATCCAGCTCTTCCCCCCCATTTCCTCCCCACCATCACCCCACCACTGGCACTTCTGACCCCCCCCCTCCCCCCGCCCCCCACTACTATGAGGTGTACTCCCAAATCGTCCTCCATTAAGGTGGTGCCAACTTTACAACGCTTTAGACACTTTATACACAGAAAAAATCTAAATTGTATTTCGTACTATATCATAAAAAAACATTTCTATGTGATTTGTTTTATCATATAGAAATGATGATTGATCATATATCATGATGTTTTATGAGATACAATGATGTTTTATGATATAGCATGATGCTTTATGAGATAGAATGATGTTTTATGATACAGCATGATTTTTATAATATAGTAATTTCTCTAAAATTTGTCTACACTAATTACTCTCTTGCTTTCTCCAAACGTCGCTTTAATTTGTCTGGAGAATACTAGACCCTAACACAGGTGCATTCGCTGGGGAATACTAGATAAAATCAGGAATACTAGGGGCTAGATTCACGAAGCAGTTACGCAAGTACTTACGAACGTGTACATCTTTCCTCAATCTTTGACGGCTTTGGTTACATTTATTAAAGATTTTACAAGCATGAAAACTTGTCAATCAACTGTTGTTATTGTTATAAACAGCTTCGTGGTGCTTCGGAGCTCATTAACTGTTTAATAATTGTAAACAAAGCCGCCAGTTTGGCTTGTCTGCCAAACT